GAGAATAATTAGGGTTAAGGATAGGATATTAGGTAATTGGGGTGGAATGTAGAGGCTGTAGGTGATGACTGGAACTTTTAAATTAGTTGTTTTAAATCAGTTGTGTTAAACAAGAGACAGACTGTGATTTGTGTTTTAGAAAATGTATAATTTAATATAAGTTGTATAAAATCAGTTGTGATTTGTTGATCAGTGTTTGTTGTTTTCAGGAAGCAAGAGACACCTTCTACTGACCATCCTGTAGAGGTAACATTTTCAAGCATTTAATTTCCATATGTAATAAACCAAGATGGAATTAATTTGCAAACTTGACATGACTTATTCCTTCAAATCAGAGATCAAAGATAAAAAAATATCAAATTAAGATGAAAAAAAAAACCCAACTATTCACAGCAGGTAACTTCTGGTGACATTGTAACGGTTTATAAAAATAATTACAGCAGGTAACTTCTGGTGACATTGTAAAGGTTTATAAAAATAACTATTACGTAGTAATGGCTGCAGGACTCGACTCTTGAGTCAAGGTTGTGTGACTTTTGAAGGGGTGTCTCTGAACAGTGGATCACACATGTTGTATTTGGGAATTGTTCTCTGAAACACTGAGGCATTGTTGCCTGGATTGTCTCCCTGGGAAGCCATGGTATGTAATCCTTCATGTTCTCCTCCATGATGTCAATCCAACATGAAATCACCTTGCTTACAATGGACTGAGAAACACCAAACCTTTCAGCAAGATCACCCTGCAATAAATTAAGACGCAGCTTCATCAGAGTCATCAGGAGCTGATCCCAAGTGTGTAGCTGGAAGCTGTTGGTGTATGTACTGGACCTGGTAAGGTGCTCGGCAACTGAATGAAATGCATCCAATGTCAACCCTGTGTATAGCTGACAAAGGTTGTTTTTTCTCAGCAGAGTTATGTACAATGGCACCGGCTCAATGCATTGTGTTCCCATATCAGATGTAGGTGGCTTCAGGTTGAGTTGTGATTTTGAACTGTAGTTGTGGTCAGAGACAGATGGATCCTCCCATTGTGTTTCTGCATCACAGTTCAGGGGCATGTGGATGTGATCACCCTCACAGTTGTCCACTGCATCACTGGTGGTCATCGATACATCTGTGGAAATAATATTAAAATGTTTTATGTTAATACTTAAAATACATCATTACATCATACAATCATACATACAATTAATATATGATGGGACCCATACTTAGAACAGTATGTGTGTGAGAGAGAGATGCATTAAAAACAAAACAGTATACATGCTCTAACTGTAGTGTTAAAACGTAAGTTAGATCAATATCTGAATGAGAAATGTAGCTAGCTGGCCTGCTATCATCTGCAATCTCTGTAACTTAGTTAGATCAATATCTGAATGAGAACTGTAGCTAGCTGTCCTGCTATCATCTGCAATCTCTGTAATTTACAGGAATAATGTGAGCTATTGTAATGTACCATAATACCTTGTACTATCGTAAATATTAAATAAATAGGTGGGCAATGGTAATCATGCAAAATTCATTGTACTTTGTTAACTGCTCGTTACTGATCTTAAATGTATTCACAGAACGGACTTCATAAATCTAACGTTAGGCGAACAAGCACATAGCTAGCTAAGTTAACGTTAGCTTACCTGAATCTGACAACCTTTTCAGCACCCGGCGTGACTTCTTTACCGGAACATCGTAGCCGAGCCATTTCTCGGGGTAAGGGTGTTCGTCAGTCAGCTTCCCGTCCATGAAATGGTACAAACACACATAAGGGCGCTTGGGTGGGCGCTTCAAATTTAGCGCCTTCAGCCATTGCCTCAGGTGCTCCTCTTCTTTAGGTGGTGGGTGTAAAGTGCACCACAACAATCCGACCGCTTCACATTGTGTTCGTAACATCGTTGGTGCAATTTTTCTCTTCTCTTAATCCAGTTGTTATGGCAGCCCCTAACTGAGCATATAATACTTGACATTTGCGTTCTGTTCTGTTATCTAGCCACTATCTTAGGTAGGTCCCTCTCAGCCGGAAGTAAGATGACAAAACGAACGCAATGGTGGCACCATTGTTGCCATGGAAAATAAGGTGAATACTGGTCAAATTGTTTAGCTGTTATACATTTAGGTATGAGTCTAGCTAATAATGTCTTTATCTCCTTTGCATATGCAACCTTGAGGGAATTGAATAGAATTTACAATACATTTCTAAAGTAACCTTCACATCTCTGAAAACCGCAAAGTGAAACTAGATGTTATTTGATGGATGAAATAAATTAAATAGACATAATGAGCTTTCTAATATGACTACATCTGTAAATTTTGATGTATATTCCATGTTTTGTTTTGGGTTTTTTTTAATGATCGCAAGAGTCAAGAATCATCGCACTTCTTAATTCTTTGAGGTGGGATATGAACTGGTTGTCAAGCATCATTATACAAGTGGACCAAAACAAAAAAAGCATTTGATTCAAAATAGTCCAGTAATTCAGCAAAATACAGCAAAGAACTGTACCTAAACTATGGGGATGAAAATAGTATACAGTATCTGAAGAAGAAATAGAACAACTGAAAGTATATTAGGTGCGCAGCGGAGTCTAAAAAAGACCACATCAAAATCTGGATAGTATTTTCCCTGCAAAAACCTGCAAAAACATTACTTAATAAATAAATATTACATAAAATTAAAAATAACTTTTTGCCATTGAAATAAAAAGTATTATATCAGAAAATACAAAAGTTGGCTTTATAGCCCATATTCTAGTATTTTTTTTTTTTTCATTTTTCCCCAAACTAATACAAAAGAAAATAAACACCTTCCAAAGAAC